TGCCTGTAACCACTGGGCTAAAATCTTCCCCCATAGAGAGACTGGGGCAGTTGGGGTGAGTCCTATGGATTTATGTCCTACAACAGCACTGCCAAAACTGGGAGAAGCATCCATGAGAGGGGAATTGGCTGATGCAAGGACAAGTCTGGGTCAGGCTGTTTGCACTGGGTTTGTACTGTGGTGTTGCTGAGCTCCAGCTGCTCCAATAAATGTAGGAAAATTCCATAACTGCAAATCCAACGTAAGAGAACCTGCAGTTTCTTTCACCTGGACATGCCATGTGCAGGACAGGACACGAACCACAGCATCTCCAGCAGTCCTTCATCCACCTTGGCAGAGGTTGAGGTGGGCATGGATCAAGAGAGATGGCAGGAAAATGGAACCAACCAATCTCTGACCTCTCCTGGGTGTGGGGGCTGCTTACCCTGGAGGCACTTGCCCTTCTGGCCATCTTTCCTCTCCATGGGATTTTCACCACAGTCTCCATCACCCCACCTGGATACCTGCTGCAGAACCAGGCAGTTTTACCAGTGTTGTAAGTTCAACTAAGCAATCTTCTTCAAATTCACAGCCTATTATACCAAAAGGGAGGATGCCAGAAGATCTCATTTTCATGCCAGTGGGGATGAGCTATGCACTACAGAATATACTGCAGAAAAGGAGAGAGGGATTGGACAGGGATTTCAGTTCCCAAGGGCAGAATTCCATCAAGCAAGGGTAAAATAGCAGTGTACAGAGACATGAACTCTCTTCAGCACCCAGCTGGAGACCAGGTGAATTGATTTTTCATCATTTTGGACCCTGTCAGCTACAAACAAAACAGCACAAATCTCAAATTTTAGTGGAAACCTGCATCTTTCCAAAAGAAGCCCACAGCCATTTCTCTGACAGTGGCAGAACAAATATAAGTAGTTTTACTGCATGCCAGTTTCTCCTTAAATCTCTTCCCTCAGGGAGCTGAGTGCTTAGACAGTATTTAGGGGGACTGGAAGCTTGCCGGATACTCAGCTAATGTAGGTCTTGGAATCTCTGATGATGCTCCAAAGAATGTCAGGCTGCATTGATGGGCCAAGTTCCTTTAGATTAGGCAGAAAATGTTTTGGCAAGAAAAATAGAGCTCCAACCAGGTGCCTCTGGAGAAGGAGGATTTTATATTCATGCTGTTTGTCACACAAATCCAGATAGGGTCATCTCCAGAGCTGTGTAAATATTAAATTCAGCCTACAAGCTGACAGAAGCAGTAAGTGCCTGCAGAGTGGGCGACTCTCCAGGAGGAGACAATGGTTGGCTTTTAGCACATCCCTCTTTTTTTATTTTCTTGAACAACTTGACTTGTGCATGCTGCCAGTTGCTTGTACTCAAACCCCTCTTTATATTCCTGCATCCACTGAGACTTTCCATTCTCAAGGGTAGGATGTAGCAGAGGTGGTTTTCCTTTCTCTCCTGCTCTGTGCATATGGGGGTAAACTGTGACAGTTAATGATGTTGAACTTCTCAGTTGATGCTTAGGGTCTTTCCCCTCACAAAGGTACTCAGATGCTTTTCAGTACAAAATTTAAGCAAGTTTGGTTTGATTTTTACATAACAGCTTGCTGAGACATAGGAAGGAACGAGCTGCAGCAAGTAAGTGAAGCTGTGGTATGGAAGAAAAAAGTATTTCCTGTGTTTCAAACTGGATAAAACTTGCTGTCCCCCTTATATGGCAAAGGTTGGCATCCTTTGACCTCACAGGGTTGTTACATAGGAAGTTTGATTCTGACTTGTAAATATGAGAGATGGTTCCCAGGGTTATTGCTGACAACTCCATCCAAAATATTCTCTGGCTATTTTGTAGAATAGAAACTTGGTGGTAAGACCTGATCCAGCTGCCACTGTCCTGAGAAAAAGAGCTGCTCTGATTACAGAAAGAAAAAGATACTTGGGTCTGAGTGGATTTCTGTCTTTGTGTCAAGGTATTTGTAAATTTTACTGCTGAGAGTGCCGTGGTGGACACAGCTGGTCACAGGTGACAAGCAGCTTCTGGAGTGAAATTCAGTCTTTTCAGTAAGGAAAACATGATATTTTGATGCCATCCAGGAAAACTAAAGAGCTGTCTGTCTGTTAGCACTCACCTGCTGAACAAGATGGATTTTGTCAGATTGAGAACACTTTCACTTATCTGACTGATGACAGACAAATCAACCCCCTGGTGATAAACCTACTTTGTGGACTTCCTTTGAAGGTATGTCCCCTGCCCATGTGTTATCTGTCAACATTTTTCTGCTTCCAGCAGGCAAATTACATTGTTTGTCTCTTTTTGCAGTTAGAAAATCAAAGCACAAAGACCTCAGAGTTTAAATCCGCAAAGTCACTGTGAGGTCTGGTTTTGGTTTTTTTTCCCCTGTGGCTGGAGCTCTGAGTGCTTTACCTGTAGTTATGAAAGAAATACAACAAGAAAGAACAACAAGAGCAGCACTTTCTCCTCTGAGCATCCCTCTTCCCTAGACATGAGGGTTCTCATTCCTTTCTCATCCCTGAGAAAGTACCATGGGGTCTCTGAAGCTCCCAGCACAAGTACACCACTAATACAAAGACAACTAAATGCAAACATTTTCTGAGTGGGGTTTTGCCTCTTATAGCTCTGAGGTTCAAGGACACCTTGTAGTTTATGCATCAATATCCATTTTGAACTGCCTTCTCTTTTGACACATTTTGTACTCAGCACAGTCAGCCTGCAATCCTTGCTTGTCACTTCCCTCTCCTTGTTGCCACCTTTAATAAGGGAAACCATTTTCAGTGTTTCATCACTGCTGCTTGCCTCTAAAAGGTCAGTGTTGCTCACATTGAAAAGTATTTCATAACCACTATGATTCTACAGATAACAGTAAAGCAGGGAAATACTTGCTTTCAAATCAGTGCCCTGCTGCTGGGATGTAGTTGGTGTTGAGGGCCTGAAAGTGAGATGAGCGAGAATCAAAAATGGACCTGACTCATTGATTTTTATCCTTTAAATATAAAGAAAATCAAACTAGAATGGAAACATCTGCCTTCATTACGTGTTTGGATATTTAAAAGGAGCTGTAGAAAACCAGGCTGCGAAGTGCTTTTTGTGACCATTGGTACGGGTTAAGGGGCAAGCCAGGGTCCCTGCAGGGCTGGGAGTCCCTGTCACTCTCACTCCCTGTTGCCATCCCGGATTTCCTCGGCCTGTGGTCTAGTTGAGGTGTTAGGGCTGTGTTGGACTCGATGGTCCTGAAGATCTCTTCTAACCTAGAGATTCTGGGATTCTGTGACTCTGTGATCCTGGAATTTTGGGATTCTAGGATTCTGTGACTCTGTGATCCTGGAATTTTGGGATTCTAGGACTCTGTGACTCTGTGATCCTGGGACTCTGCGATTCTGTGATTCTGGGACTCGGGGATTCTGTCACTTTCTGAATCTGGGATTCTGTGACTCTGTGACACTGTGACTCTGGGATTCTGTGACTCTGGGATTCTGGGATTCTGTGACTCTGTGTCTCTGTGACTCTGTGATTGTGTCACTCTGTCCCTCTGTCACACTGTCACTCTGTGATTCCCGGATTCTGGGGTTCCCAGATTCTGTCACTGTCAACTCTGTGATTCTGTGATTCTGTGATTCCCGGGTTCTGTCACTGTCACTCTGTGATTCCGGGGTTCCCAGATTCTGTCACTGTCACTCTGTGACTCCAGGGTTCCGGGGTTCCCGGGTTCTGTCACTGTCACTCTGTAGTTCCGGGGTTCCCAGATTCTGTCACTGTCACTCTGTAGTTCGGGGGTTCCAGGGTTCTCTCACTGTCACTCTGTGGTTCCTGGGTTCTGTCACTGTCAACTCTGTGATTCCCAGATTCTGTCACTGTCACTCTGTGGTTCCCGAGTTCTGTCACTGTCACTCTGTGATTCCGGGGTTCTCTCACTGTCACTCTGTGATTCCGGGGTTCTGTCACTGTCACTCTGTGATTCCCGGGTTCCCGGGTTCTGTCACTGTCACTGTCACTGTGATTCCGGGGTTCTGTCACTGTCACTGTCACTGTGATTCCCGGGTTCTGTCACTGTCACT